CTGTAGTTAGGCCTATAGTTTATCCTCTTTCTCTCTTAGCCTTTGGTATAACTGTACCTATCTACACTTTATAACAGGAGGTATTAGCTGTTGTTGTTGTAGATAACATACTAACATTTAATAACATCCAAGAAGGTCACAGTTAGTTACACAGTGACGTACATCACATAAGTCCGTGAAATTTCATAGGCCAACCGTAGGTAAACATAGAAAGAGCAATAATAGTAAAACTCGAGCGTCACGACATTGCGAAGTGTCTGCTCTTGTTCCTCGTATCGTACTCACTCGAGTCAATCCGAGATGGCCCGAGTGAAGTTTCATACAAATGTTTCGTACGGGAAAAAAATCGCCTACGGTGGACATCGTGTATGGTGTGTGCACACACAGCTCTGCGTATATATATATACTTGACAACACACTGACATGATTATGTTCAAACGATCATACTGTACATTTATAAGTACTTCCAGGTAAGACATTGTAATAAATTGGTCTTTATAAACACATTTTTCTAAACATAAACTACCGGTAAATATTCTGTATTTCATATAAAGAGATTTATGAAAATCACGTAAGGTCTCGATTCAATTTCAAATTATGATAGGCTTGCACATCGAACTTTGATGAGAGTGCCAAAGTTATGCTAAAAACATGTAAAATATAACAATGAGTTCATTATCAATATTATATATTTTTGATACAATTCTAAGCCATTCCGGATTGCTTTGCTTTTCTTCCTTCTTCATGTATCTTATTATAATACAAACAACTTAAACACAAACATTTATTTATTTTAATATAATTAGCCTCTAGCCTAGGCCCTAGACCTATAATATATATTTATTGTTCACATTAAACATGCTTGCAATACACAACAATCCATATTATGTTATACACTATATTAAATTTATTTACAAATAGATAAGATTATTTGAAATATAGACGTAGTTTTCCTTAGTTAAATAATAAAATATATATATATATTTTTTATATATAATATATGTATACATATATACCGGTATATATTATATTATCTAATAAATAACATTAATTTAACCGTTGACATGGTAATCACTTCATTTTTATAAGATGACCATGGCCACCATAATGACCTCGGATAAAATGGTTCCTACCACAAATTGAATACTTTGACCATAAGGAACATGTAAATAAATGGTGCGTTTGTCCGAAACCTCCAAATCACAGTCCGAATATGGCCGTAAGCTGCCTGCATTATTATGCATACACCACTCAATATGTCGTCGTTTGGCAGCCATCTTGAAAATAATGATACCCTCATAAAATAAGTATACAAGTAAACATTGGGGCAACCTTACTAGTCCAGGCAATCTACGGTTTCAGACCACCAAAAGTGGACAAAATTGCAACAAAAGGTTTTTTAACATGTATTTGAAGTTTATTTTGTGAAGGAAAACATACAAAAAATCGGACAAAATCTGAGACATAGAAAGTGGATAATTTAACGAAATGTTACAGGACTATTTCACACAATCGATGCGCAATGCGTCCTACGCCTATGGTTAGCCATCAGGGCATTAATGAAAGCGCCGTAATCATAATGAAAGCACCGTTATCTTCATAAAAAGCGCCGTAATGCCATTCATTTTCAACCATTCACAGGTTTAGGATGACGCCAACAGGGTCATAATAAAACCACCGTAATCATAATAAAAATGCCGTAATCATAATTAAATCGCCGTAATCATAATTAAAGCGCCGTCATGCCATTCAATTTTTAACCAAGTACAGGCTTAGAATGACGCCAACGGGGGTCATAATGAAAGCGCCGTTAACGTGTTTACATTAAAGCGCCGTAATCATATAAAAAGCGCCGCCATGTTGTTCATTTTACAACCAATCACAGGCTTAGAATGATAATTGATTACGGCGTTAACTTTTTCAATAAAAGCGCCGTTATCAAAATTAGAAAAACGCCGCTCTGAGTACCTGGCGCAAGGGTCACACTTTTAGCCAATCACATTCCGTCTTTCATATGAAGTCGGCGGAGGATCGGAGGAGCGAGAGCATCCAGGTGCGGCGCGGCCGAAGGTGCGAGTCGGAGTGTGCAGGGGTCTAATAGTCTAATTTCTAACGGTTTTTATTCATCTTTTGTATAGGCCTAGCCAAGGGGTGTCTATAAAACGAAGACCGAAGACCCAAAAACGAAGACCCCCCCCCCTATTTTTTCTCTTTTATTTTGATGATAATACACCAAGCTGTCACAAAATCAAAATTACGATTTTTGATTTTTTTTTTTTGGGCGTCTGCCTGTGAAATTTTCAAGGGTCTTCGTTTTATAGACACCCTATATGGGTGTCTACAAAACGAAGACCGAAGATCCGAAAAACGAAGACCTCC